GCAGCAAACACAGGTGCATCAAAGGGGGCCGGGGTGGGAACAGTGTCTCCCCCTTTGGCAATGTGATCCTGTCATATTGAAGCTGATGCTTCTTGGTGCTTGCCACTTTTTAACACTTTGTGGAATAGCTGGAGTGTTGAAAAGTGTCAGTTGCGTGAGCAGGGCGCACTGCATAGCTTCTTTATGGGATGGCTAAGCATGTTGTGCAGCCCTGCCCTCTCTTGTGTAGCCATTCCATGTCATTCAGCTATTATAAAACCCCTAAAATTCCATTGGTTCATGAAGCTTGGACTTTCAGCTGCTCCTTTAAAGCCTCTAAAGGAAGCTGACATACTTTTCAATTTCAATTTAACCGAAGAGTCAGTTTGTTATTGTATTCCATAAAAGGGAATGAAGGTTTGTTACATAATTATGTTGCAGTGGACTGAAAGTTCATAATTTCTGAACACTAATGAGCAATGCACATTTGTTTTTTCCTGTAAATATACAAAACAATCTCATTAAACTACAAATACAAAAATACTTTCAATTTTACAACAAATAAGCAGACAAATTATGTACAAACTGGGAAAATACTATACCTTGTTACCAATCTAGCCCATCTACCTGGAAGTCAACATAATTAAATTGAGTAATATTTTTGTTCAATTGCACTAACAACTGCATGCTTGCCATAGAATGAGAACCAATCAGGGTTATTAGCGCAACGTTTTCATAAAATAAGTCTAAAGTGCTTAAGGCATTTCCTCTTGTCAACATACCAGTTTCATTAAACTAATATAAGTATATCCCATTGAGCAGCAATAGAACTAAGCACCTTGTGTTGGACTGTTTCACAGTAACTACTTTTTCCCATAGGTAAACAAATCACCACCTCTCGGCTTCTAGATGCCTGTTGAGATCCTCCAAATATACGACTGCATCTTGAATTAAGATAAATTGCAGATCAGTGGACTTGGGAAAATTCACAAAGTTATCCTACTAACTGGATAGACCTTGCACACACAGGGTTTTCTAAAAGAAACATTCTGCTTTTGGACCACACTTAATGGTTAGTAGGATCTTACACTTAAATGGAAAAATTCAAATGCTCTAATTTTAAAAGCCAGATGAATTAGCTCATTTTACAGTATTCAACTTTTAAATCTCTTAAGCATACTGTATTTTCCCCTAAACAGTAACTGGCATTTGATCTTAAGCCATTTATCAAAAAGTTTTTATTTTCACAAATCAAATGTGCAAAGAATAAAATGTGAGGTCAAGTGCTGCAAATAGAACAGGAATCACTATAAGAAGAGTTCAGATTTTCAAAATGGAGTAAATAAGGGCTTCCCAATAGCTAGAATCCATGCAAAAATTGAGTAGAAGGTATTTAAGTCAACCTAATTTTGTAGACTAGAGAACCATGAGTTTAATTTGCTGCCAAGGAATCTTTCCTTGGAGGGAAATTGAATAAACTGTTTAGATACATGTAGCCACATAAATGATTTTGATGAAGCAATTTATATAGTTCAGTTCAGCTGAAAAGTTAAACATCCAAACTGAATTACATTATTAAGATTCCATATATCCATTTTTCAAAATCACAACTAACCGCATGTGCTGTGTTACAAAAAGCGGTTTGTCACATCTGCTTCTGTGAAATTTATCAAAGAGCCAGGAGGTCGACAGAAGATTTTAAAAAAGGAAATTAACCCTGTGCTATGTTGGAAGAAGAAACAGAAAACCAAGACCAAATGTTTTAAGAACTGGAAGCAAATCTGAACATGCCTTAATATATGCTTCTGACACCATGGAGGGAACATAGGAGTTATGGATACTTTAAAACTGGAATGTACAATCCACTTTTTACAGCTAAAGCAAAAGCGCTTCAGAGGTTTGAGGCAAAGATTATTTGGGGCCTTTAAGGCTAAATACAGGGCATTTACAATGACATAAGATTAAGGTAGTTGATGCATCTAGGAGTTGTTTAATTATACAGTTTGAGTCCATAGAGCACAGCCTTCAGGACTCATCCTCAAAATGAAGATGGGGAACAAGAATTTAGTTTACAGACAAAAATTATAAAAAATGACTTGAATGGACTCAGTGTACACTATTTTCAAATAAATACACAAGGTGAAGTACATGATAAGGTCAGCCCATTCAGTAAAACTAAAGGGCTCTTACTAATGCAGGTGAGACTAGAAACAAAAATGTTACCTAATCCCTTCATTACAGAATGCTAATTTAATTTAGGAAAATAGAAAACCCCAGGAAATTCCTTACGTTCAGCTGTCTGATCACAAGTAGTATGATCATACAATGGTTAAGTAAAGGTGATATCTTCCATTCCACAAAGCGTTCTATGAGGTTAATGGACATTGTGCTCAAATCCCATCCCACAACACTTTACTTGCGATGACCATGTAGACCCTGGCAAAGTTAGTCCTGATGCCTGATATTGTAAAAGCTGCTTTAAGCCAAAGGTCACTGATCAAAACCGACGCATTTGTATTCCTCCCTCTTCCATTACACTGATTTGTAGAAATTCAGACATGCTTTAGAAAGTTTAAAGCTTCAGCGTATGAACCCTAGCTCACTTACATTTTTGAAAGACAGGGAGTGAATTAGAATCCTAGAGAGAAGAAAAGCAATGAGGGCTTTTAGGCTAAGATCATACTTGTCTAGTGGGTGATTGCAGCATGATGTGTAGTAGAAGACAAGCAGTCAATTTTAGTCTAAACTGAAGCACATTGCTACAATCTCAAATATCCTCTTCTCTAATAAAATGGTGCCTATATTCCTATTACACTGCAGATTCACAGTACACTCCTGCCAGCACTTCAGTGCAGCCCCCATTCATTTTGGACCAGATGTGCCGAGTCCTTAGAAGTTGCAGGAACACATTAAAACGTTGTTCACAAACTCTTTGAATAATACCTGCAAAGAAAACCAGTTAACCTAGAACTGGACACATCACTGGGCAACATTGGTTAGGCTACTGGATGAACCACTCAATCCATTTTCACTCTTCTGCAGTGTTTTCACAGCAGTTGGCACCTGCAGTCCTGTTGTCAAGGTGAGACCTCCACACCAAACCTAAAAAAAAATCAGATGTTTGAAAGATGAAAAGTCATCCGTAATTTCTTGCTAAAAAACCCAATTGTTGCTGTGCTTGGTTGTCACAAAAAGCTAGAGTTATCATGATGGAAATAAGACAGGCATGCACCTTTCCTCTCCACTGTTCTCCTCTGCCACAGCCACAAGACTAAAAACTTTCATTTCTGATAGACTAAGTTTAGTATTAAATCTGAACCCTGATATATGGTTAATCTTAACTATGATTCATGGAAAGAAAGCAGCTTTGTAACCTGTGATTTGAAGATGGCTTGCTTCAAACAAACCATAGTTAAGAATAGCCTCTATTTCTGTGACGCTTTCAATCTTTTCTTTGCAGCTGTGGGGAGAAGAGGAGAGGAGGTGTGAGCCCAAGCCCACTGCATCTTGATTCCATCGTTTACTGCGATGTCTGAAAGGTGCTGCTTATAAATGTGGCACAAACACTTTTCTGGCAGGAATGAATTGCTTCTTGAAGTTAATGAAGCATCAGAAACACTTGCTTTAAAATTAAGTGTAAATTATAGACAACATAAACGTTTTATTTGCTCTACAGGAATGCCAGTTTGGGGTTACATCAAAGAAACATTCCCCCCCCATAGAAATGTCTCTGTTCAATTAACAACTGTGGCATGGAGCAAAGCCTTTAATTTTGTAATTTAAATAGCTACCAGTTATGAGTTTTGTTTTAGATGTAATACTTAATATGCCAATAACCAAGTATATTTGTGCAAAAGTCAGACATTGATATGCCCAGAACTTGAAAGCTGCATCAATACTAGATGTGCCTTTTCTTCATTATAAGTTACAAAATATGATTTTGTTTGCAAGAATAAATCAATTAACAATATCCCAATCACTCTTGTAGCAGCAAGCAATTAATACTGACCATGAAGCCTGGTAATAGTGGTTGGGTAAATTTTGTTTTGAAGGTGTACAACAACTGCTTTGAGCTTGCATTATAGAAAGAGAGCTGACCTGAAAGGAGAAAAGCAGGTTAATACTTCAAATAAATTGCATTTTGTATTGTCTTCTTACTAATACAAGTTCTCTACTGCTTTAGTTTTAGAGTCAGGAAATAAGATTCAAGCTCTGCAGGAGCACAGCTGATGGCAACCCCTACTTATGCCTTCATATTATGAAGAAACCTTGCGGCCAGAAGGAAAGAGTGTGTGAGTAAAGAAATTACAGCATGTGGGCCAAATGCATTGTTGCTTTGTTGATTCAATCTAATTAGGGGTTGGTGATGTGGAACCTATTAAAACTCATGCTTGGGCCCACCAGACTAGTAAAGCTATTAAGAGTCCATGGGGCAATACCTTTCCACTTATTTTTAATGATGGTAGGGAAAAGGGTGGTCCTGTCATTAAGTGACATGAGAAGGGTAGAACCCCAAGCTTGGGGAAACAGGATCCTTGGTGACATGGCTTATCACCCCCTCAAGCTGTCTTCATTTGTTTACTCCCCAAACCTTTATTAAAGTCAATTGTGTGATAGCACTCTATTGACTTTAGGGGTGGGTAGAAAAAGATCTAAAATTATAGCTTGCAGAAGAGGGAAGAAAGTAGGTAAGAGACAGAATCCAGACATTGGGGGTGGGGGCATACCAAACATTTATCCTCCATAGTAATTACTGGTGGTACCTCGGTCACATTTTCAAAACACGTAATGTCCCACACTCCCAAAGAGGTTGCCTACCCCAATCTAGCCCAACAGTTTCCAACAGGCCCTGGAAACTTACAGAAATGTCTTTGTGACTGCCATTCCATTTGAAATTAGCATCTGATAAATCAAAGGTTTAGACTCCATGCAACAACTAATATTGGACCCACTCATCCTGTGGCAATAAATTCCATAAACGGGGCATGTATTGGTGTGAACTGCAGCATTTCTTTTGTCCTGAATCTACCATTTCATTGAACCACCTTGGGTGGTAGTATGAAGAGTGAATTCTCTAGTCACTCTTCACAGAGGTGCTACTAAGGCTGGATCACAGGGTGCAAGTTTGAGACCTGTGAAATGGGAAGGCCCTGAAGTAATTTCCTAACTTCTGGCAGCAACTCCTCCTCCTGCCATTATATTGCCCAAGTAAAGTGTTTACAGGGGTTGCCGCCTGCCCCTGACAGCATATAATTTTTAAATTAAGCTATTTTAATTTTCTGATTTTGAGTAGCATGTACCTGGAACAGCTGGACACTGCATTTTTTGAGGAAGGAGGAGAACACAGTCAAGGGGGATACCCATGGAGTGAGAACCACAGCCTTGCTGCCCTCACTGGCTGCACCCCTCCTTGCAAAGGCAGTTTGCCTGGTTCATATCTCCACTAGTCAAAATTACCATATATAAATCTTCCGATCTAAAATGGAACATCGAGGGGCTACAGCCTCAGCCTGCCTTGACTTCACTTTGGCAGGGAGCTGCTACTCCTCCTGTACTAAATAAAAAGAGCAGGGCATTGTGGAAAGAAGGAATGTGTAGGAGGCCCTGGGAAGCACTTTGACTGGTGGCCCATTGAACCTCTTCGTATCGCCAACTCTCCACAAGGCTCATGATAGGAGTTACTCGAGGGTGGGGGGAGGAGATGGCCGCAAACTTGGTCTCCACCCAATGCAGAGGTTCATGACCCAAGTCAAAATTTTCATGAAATTTTTGTTTGCGACCCGATTTGGTCATGAACCAAGGTGTTTGTGAGCCGAGGTACCACTGTGCAAGGCTAGTGCAGCACATGTGAAACACACCAGGGAAAACCAACATTCTAGATAAGCCCAAGACCCTAATCACTAATCAGGCAACATATTCTAATCTGGTGTTACTATTCTCTACTACCTATATATGTGAAATGAGTTTTAGTGCATGACTATTTAGCAAGTGGGACTGAAATATAAGTTTTTAAAAGTTACTGAAGCACTTTAATCTCTCCCATCCTACAGCTCAATACATTTTATAGCTTCTCTTTCCACTCTAACAGAGGAAATGTTGCTATTTTACTGCTCCTGGTAAATAGTCATTTTGCAGCAAAGCCATTGGAAGGATGCATCATGGAGTATATATAGCTGATGTCAGGGGTGAAAAAAGCTGCAGCAATTCAAAGCTGCATTTGCATTACAGGAGAGCCAGAAAGGCTCTGCTACCATTTTAGCTGTCCCCATTCCCACCTCCTGCCTCTGCAGTTTCAGAAGGCAATGGGGCACCATGAATGGAGGGAAAGGTCCTCTGGATTTTCTTAAGCTCCCCCTGCCACCACACCTGGCCCACTATGATTTGAGCACTGACACCAAAACAAAAGCCTTCTCAATGGTTAGTGGCCAACTGACATGCAACCCTGTGGCTTTAAAAACAAATGCAGCTATGTTCATTGCAGTTTGGCTTGTACAGGGTGTCCCAAAAAATTGACATTATTTGAAATGTGAATATCTGAGTAACTACATGTCCTAGGCAAACGAAATTAAATAGGCTTCATGTTGAACAATGAAAGATTTATTTATCAAAATCTGAACAAGAGATTCAAAGGGATGTAGATTTTCTAACCGATTTCACAAAGCTTCACAAATGTTCAATATGCGCACTGCCTGTGACACGACACGTCAGGTTGGTAGTCCACCTCCTGTCAAACACACTGTAGTATATCTTGTGTAACATTGCATAACTAGCATTAGTTTTTACACATTTTGTTAAAATTTGAGATCATTTGAGCAAGAATTGGCTATGTTATTAGACTACCAAATGATGTCAATTTTTTGGGACACCCTGTATAACTAGAAGTTTATATTTTCCTCTCTCTGTTAAGTTTTTTACTTGAATGTCACACCAGCTGCTTCCCACTCCAAGGAGGGGGGGCAGGGACAGTAGTACCATGGCTTTTACACTAAAGGCCATCTTAGCATCACGTATAGGTTGGTTCTCATCACCCTGTTTAAATAATGTTTAGCAGTATATGCAGAAGTGGGTTAACTTGGCATGTGCACCAAGTCACACTTGTTCTGAAGGGGGAAGAAACCCAACTTCCAAACAAACTCAGATCAAGGATTTCCAAAACATCATGTTATTTTAATTCAGTTATCTCATTAATCGGTCTGAAGACTCAAAATTACCTCCATCAAAGTCACAATAGACTCCTATCCTGTCTGGAACCATGGCATCTAGTGATTTTGCTTTGTTATTGTGTTTGGCTGCAAAGGTCGTCTGGAGCCAGTTATTTATATGCACACACCAGCTTGTATTAGTCTTTCCAAGTTGATCAAATTTCCCTAAATTTTTATATGCAACTCCTACACTGTAGGATTTGCAGTCCTTCTGAGCTTTCACTTCCCAGTAGTGCTGTCCATTTTCAATAGCAGTATCTCCTGTAACAAAAGAAAGAGCAATTAAAACTTTAATCTAGCCTTAAAGCACCCATAAACTTCAAGAAGCAGACAAAATTAACAAGTACAAACTACATATCAGATATGCCAGGGAAAATCTGCAATCATTCTGATACTATGTACAATCTTACCCAACACTGTATATGATTCCCCAGTAAATCTATCTCTGCTGCCCCTGATCAAAGGAGAGCGTGAGCTAACCGACGATCGCTTTGGAGATGGAGTGCCACTTCTGTAAGATGACAAGAAATGCGTTTGTATGGCACTGCAGTACACAAGCAATGGCCAGTATAAAATGTAAGTAATGGCAACCAGTTAGTCTGCACTCTTAACAAATTAACTTTTACTAACAAGTTTCACAGAAGCACTTGTGGTTATGTATGGCTCTCATGCTATTAAAGGGGCCTGAGCCAGCCATGCTGGAAGTCTCTAGATTTTTCAACACAAGCAGCCATGCAAAGAAAAGGGGTTACCAAGACAGCTGATAAATCATATGGTAGCAATAGAAAAGTTACTATTATAGGAAAGTGGAAAGGATATGCACAAGGCAGGAGTGAGAGAGATGGGCATTAAGCACAATTCTGAAAGAAGTGACTTCACAAAAATGCCTACATTTCGTCTGATTAAAAGTGAATACCTGACAAATCCCCAATCCCAACCGTACATCAGCTGTTGCATCAGTCTGCAACACTGATAATCTTATGGCCTTTGCCACTGTGCTGATCACAGTCAGTACACCTCATCATTAAAGTAGATTTCTCATGGGCAATCCAGGTATTGATGTATTTTAAAGCTGGTTCATTTAATGTGCAAACTGCCAATGTAAAGTATCAAAATTATTACATTGTTTACAGAATGAAGTACTACTGCGCATGTTGAAGTCATTTAATGAAACACTGAAAATATGCTCTGACTAAATAAAGCGTATTAAAGAAATGTTACTTACCAAAAGAAAAAAGGAAATAAGTGAGCATGAAAAGACAGCAAAGCCAAGAAAATTAAAGCATATATTCAGGGAAAAGAGATACACACACGCACCACAGCAACTGATCCTAACTCAAAGTAGTCATTACTACAAAGCCCACTACCTTCTCCTTTCTACCATAAAAGCAATCTTAGATTTACTGCCAAGTTATACAGAAAAATAGCATGTTCGTTAGAAAGATGTTGCATCTGCCATAAGGCTGATGCAGACCATGATTTTTCTTCCCCTTCAGCAAACTCTACTCAGATACCAACATGCTATTTTTCACGCAAGTGTTCCAACAGCCCTTCACCCAGAAAATGGCCTTTACAGGAACAGCCTTTACTAGTATACACAATAGTATTTTATGTGCATACTATCAGAATATATTAATTAGTGTATTAAAATATTTGGTACATTCAAAGCCACCAATTGCCTACATGAATGAATCCATGCCAACCTCTCCATATATAATTGCACAGTTACAGTGCCATTATGTTTTCCACTGTTTGATAAGCTACTGTCACTTCTCACTGCCGTTTTGATTATATTTTATTTGCGGAAGCAACAAAGAATAGTGGTCTAGAGACCATGAATTCTCTACAATGAAGGAAAACATGCAGTGCAACTGTAAACAAGCCAAGACATCAGCTTGGTCAGGAAAGCCCATTTAACTACTCAAAATTAATTCTCAATGTAACTCCAGCCAAGGGTAGAGAAGGCACAAGGCACCAAAGCTGGAATCCATACTGCAGCAGACACTGGCTAGCCCTTACTCCTGTTGTTCTTCTCCCAGGTAACGCATAGCAATGCAAAATGCAACATCACGCTGCATGTTTTGCCACCTCACTTCCTGCACTGCTGCTTGCAGAGGAAGGAAAACACACAGGGTAATCACATTTTGCATTAACTGAAGTTATTGGAAGGAAAGGAATTAAATAAGGGGCTGGGTTGAGGGAGCAGTTCTGTGTCTGCCAGAACAGCCAGTTCCAGCCTGAAATGATCCTTCAGAAAGGAGATCTGTTGATGCAGAAGACGTGACACTCAGGGGAAGCACGGGGAATAGCACAAACTGCCTGAAGGAATGGCCTCTACAAAAAGCATCTTCATTAGCAAGATGCTACCTGATTGAGACTTCTGGAAGGAAATCTAAGGGAGTAGCTACATCAGCTTAATTCTAGCAGTGTCAGATCCCTCCCTTTACCTTGTTCTGCAAAAAGATGGACTGAGTCCAGTGTCACATTATTATGGAGGATGTGGCCTACCATAAATACCACATGCATTAGCACTTAGCTTACTGACAAACTTGGCACTTTCGTGTTTTCTATTTTCTACATTTGGTGTCAGAGGTTTTCATTGACTGTTGTATACCATCTTGGAAGCTTTGCAAAAAAGCAGTTTAAAAATTGATACAAAAGAGGATCAATAAGGAAATTAAAGGATCTACACAGAACACATTGGCTTGTCTACTGGTAAAGGCTGTTGGATTGATTCATGCCAAGTCTAGAACAAGGACTGAAAAGAAAAAATTGAGAAGTAAAGCTGGAGGATAATCCCTAGGGCTAGGAAGAGGCACATTGTCACCTTGTATGGTTCTTCAGAAGGGTAATCTGGCCACTGTCAGACAAAAATAGGTAGTTAAAATATACTTTGTTACTAACACAGTCTTATTTAAAAAAAAAAAAAAGCAGTAACTTAGTCCTTATTTCCTTGGCAAGCATACTTTTTCTTTGTTGGTTATCATAGCCACTGTACGCCATTTAAACTTTCCTAAAAATGAAACACCACTTGTTCACAAGTTAAAATAAAGCAGATATTTTAAGAAATTACCTGAAATTTGCTTTCCAATACAACAAATAAGCTTCCTTTGAGTTTTACATAGGTTTTATGTAGTTCACTCACAGTTAGAACACAGTGAAATGAAAAGGTGCACCCATTACCTCTCTTTCATACAGTTAGTATACAGTAGGTATGTCAGTAAATTTACCATGGAAGATACTGTTATCTCTTCACTGTAAATGCTTAACGCAGAGATGCAAGAAACAGATGGATTAACATGTACCTTTTTGCTTGCAGTACAGAACTACATAATTTGAGCTTCACAGAGGCTTTTGGCAGTCTGTGAAAAATACTTTCTAAAATCCCTCTATTACCTCTTAGACCAGGATAATTTTCAGCATCCAAGCATGCACGCTCAATTACAAGTGTCTATATGGTCAGTGTAACACAAACACTGACCATAACACTAGTTCTCAAACTGCTCTGAGTTGTGGTGACAGCTACAGTCCCAGAAATACGTCTGTGGACTGCTATGCCGGTTTTCACCAGTCTCAGTGTTTTTTTTCTGACAGCCTTCCCTTTTCTCCAGGAACGCCTGTTTGTTCTGCTGAATTGAATGAAGAGGTGGCTTTGTGGTGGGAATGTATCTGCCTGCTCTTCGCCAGTGCTGTTCCTTGGGAGCAGAATGATGTGCCTTACGGAAGGGTGGCACTTCTGCTCCTTCGGGGTCTCGTTCTCCAATCTGGCTGGTGTGGGTGTTTACTGCATGCCGATAGGCTTCAACATTTTTGTACTGGGATGCGGGGGAGGGGTTATTGCAAGACAGATGTTTACTGTTGAGGAGTAAGTTGATTACTGAAGGATCTGCATGAGAGTAAGTTCATTTTTCTAACATGCTAGTCTTAGGAAAGCACAATGTTGAGTTTTAGATGCAAAACTTAACTGGGTTTTGGACTAAAATGCCTATATTTCCTGACCACTGGCAATGTTGGTTGGGGCTGATGGGAGTTGTAGTGCAAAACACCTGGAGGCCACCTGGTTGCCTGACATAATGGATAGTCCCTTAAGAAGAAGAGTACAGCTGTCACCACTGGCAGCCATTCCAGCTTCCTGTGTAAAGGAGGATGGGCAGGATAGCAGGGTAATTCCATCAGCCCCGCCTGCTGAAAGAATTACATTTTTTCTCTTCCTTCTCCATTCTTTTTTCATTTACTTATCATGTCTTGTTGGATTATAAGCCGGCAATGTATAGGTTGTCTCATGTAACTGATATGCAAGCCGCTCTGGGAGCATTTTTGACTGAAGAGTAGTTTAAAAATACTTTGATTAAATAAATAAACTATACCAATACTATACATCCTTTCCTTTCAGCAGATAAGGAACCATTTTTACTCATACATTCCTCTAGAAAAACATCTGTTTAGACTGTCATGTGATGTTATATCACCTTTTCCAGAACAAAGAATGACTGATTTTTAACACAGGTGCAACATTATGTGCTTCAAGAGTTGCCTCCGAATGCTAGCTGTGAGACCATTCAGTTCCAAGAGAGTAGTGAGCTCATGTAAGTTCAAGGCAGTGGGCCTGTTTGTGGGATGTGGGTGGCTACCATTTTGAATATGCAAGCCCCACACAGGGGTTGTTGTCATGCGAATCTGGCAAGCATAACCCTCCCAAAAGAACTTGTGTAACTCTGTTGCTTGTTTCAGAGTTACACAAGGCTTCCTTCACTCTCACAGAACTCATATTTGCTAGGCTCACATGACACAAAACCCTGTGTAGGGGTTGCAAATGCAATATGGCACCCATAGGTGCTGTAACTTGTCATGAATAATCCACTACATGTGGCAGTGTATCATCCAAGCTCAGTCCCTAAGAGCACTAAGAGTCTTTTCTGCATACAAAAACTTCTTTCACAAATCTGTATTTACTGTGTCAGACTAGTATATGACATCTACAAGTTACTTCTGAGGAGTTATCCTTACCTGCCTTTGTTCTCTTTTCCTTTAATTTTATTTTCTTGGCTTTTGCCTCCTGTGGAATCCCACTCAACATAAGAGTCTTCAACTTTCAAGTTAAGATGAGATGAGGAACCATCCAGATTAAATAGAAGAGCTGACCAATGAAAATATGCAAATTGAGACCATCATTCACATCTTTTCCTTTAATGCAAAGAACGCTAGCATTTTTAAACTTGGTATCAACTTAAGGCTAAGCTGCGTATGACATTATTTACTTTTTTATTTTAAATTGTGCTCAATTTGACCACTTTTGTTTCTGTAAAAAAAAAAAAAAAAAAGCCATAAGCCCCAACCTAAAACATGCTCTTGATCAGGGTCCTACATTATCTTTTTGAGGAAAATTTCAAGAAAGGATATAGCTCTATGGTAGAGACTGTCACATTTTCCAATTTCCATCTGAAAAAGCCATTTCTTAAAGCAATGGTGCAATTCTGACTTGGCCAATTTGCTGTTAAAGTTCTAGGACAAGTGCAGGAGACTGTGAGAGGTTCAGGGGAAATTTTGGGGCCGCATACCCTCCATACAGGTCTAACAATAACTAAATAAATGTTAAAGAAATTTAAATGGAGGCTGTAGCAGCTACAGAACACCCAAAGGATCAAATTAAGCTTGTAAGAAAGAGAATTCTGACCCTTTATGTGCTTATTTTCTAAAAAGAGATTGTGGAGGGAAGTAGGGTCCACATGAGTCCTGCAGGGCACATGCTACCCATCCCTGCCTTAGGGTCTCCTTCTAGCAATAGGCCTTTAAAAGTTATGAATACGTACAGGAAGCTAAAGCTAACTAAACTGGCACCAATAAAATGGCAAAATAAGTCATGATTTGATCAGCAGACCACTGGAAGATACAGGTTACCAAAAAAGCATCTTTTCTTTCAGTAGTGAACCATGTACTTTAAGAGGAAGAATGCAGTTATTTCAGTGACACTATTTCAATAATAATAAGACTAATGCAAAATATATATTTAAGAAGCTTTCTAAGCATACTGCTGTAGAGTCGGAGTGTCACTGAGATAGGTAATAATATTCTTGGAGGTCAGGAATGCTCAATACAATCCAGCAGCCAGAACAGAGTCACACTGGAATTTGTTTTTGTGCAAATTTAATCTTTGCTACTGCCAACTAAGCAGAATAACTGAGCCTATGTTGCTGTGCTTGCCTTCATTTTTTTGGAAGCCAAACAATAGTTGTCATACTGAAAAGATCCTACTGAATTAGAATGCATCAAAGAGAGTTCTTTGGTATTTCAACACTGACATTTCTCTAGGAAAGGTCAACTGAGAGTTTGGCCAACGGTCAGTTTGAAGTGAATTTACCAAGCAAATATCCAGTCCATATGCCCAGTATAAGCCCAATGAAGTTTTACAGGTAAGTTAGAAGTGTTCACTTATTACCGAAGCAAAAGTACAGGTGTCCGGCTGGCATAGGTTGAAAAGCCATGGTACTGTTATACAGTGGCTAATGACAGTTTGCTAAGATCAGAATAATGCATCTTCTGTGATGGGCCCAAAGACAGCAGATGCAAAGCTGAGCAAGGCAGGTTCCTAAAAATATTTTCATTCGTTCTAATCTTAGAAGGGCAAGATGTGGTGATACAACCAATTACAAATGTACATATGGACATCTGCAAGCACAGTTGTCAGAAAGCCAAGTTCTTTTTAAATATAAAGCAGACACTGAGATCTCTTCCTAGCACTTTGTGTTGTAAAGTTTAAACGATGTCTTCAGTTTTAGTTTTTGGAACCTTCTCATATGGTCTATGGCAGCTCTCAGTCAGCAGTAAAGGTTTTCTAGACATTTTCCTTCGCCCAAATGCAGGTACAGAAGCAACTGGTAATTTCATAGGGTACAGAAACCTGATCTCTGCATGGGCCCTTTGAATGACATCATCAGTATGCTCACATTCAACCCAGGTTGGCAAGAGTTGTCATAAACTGACACAGATGCCAAAATCAGTTGAGTGAAATGGCATTTATTCTAGGTGTTCTGTTTTCACTTGAGAAGCATGCTCTGCAAGCCACTATATCATAACGTTTGTTTTCCAGCTACCACACTGCATCTCAGTAACTGAGGACGAGAAGCAGTTCTTGCTCCTGTGTATTCATAGCCAATATGAAATCTGAACCTAATTTCAGCTTTCAAACCTAATCTGAACCATATTTAAGATACCACATTATGCTAATATTTAACTATGCTGTTTTACCTTTGGTCTCTAAAGTCACTGGGTCAGAGTAGTCCCCAGCTACAGCCTTGTTGCAAGCTCGGACACGAAAATTCATGTATTTTGAATCAAACCTCAGACCTAAAAGAGAGTGAAGACTTCAGAAACACACTGCTACCCACTATGATGAACAAAGAAAGATTAACAGCTTAGAGCGATAAAGAATTTACATTCATATGAAGAGTGCCCTCTATTCCATAGCTACATGCAAATTAAGGCATCAATAGTATCTGATGCCAAGGAAATTAGATGAGATATTGAAAATCTCTAGACAGCTTCCGCTACAGGGCAGTATAGTAATGAATTATATAATTATAGGGCCTCCATTTTATCATGCTCCAAGTATAACACAACAGATTTCTTGTTTGCAGGGCAACCGAATGTAAAATATTAAGTGGTAATTAAACTTAGGTCAGTGCCTTTATCTGATATAGATTGCACCTAGATCTAGTTATAAGTAATAGTGCACTCAAGGAATCTTTCACTGAAGGGCAGACCATGATTATATAATCACTATACAAGAGATTAAAAGGCTGGCTATTAAAAGCCCTGAAGTATGGAAAAAATAAAGTGTAAAACCACATTATAGGAAATAGAAGAATAATGACAAAAATGTGTCCTAAGGGACTGAAAAAAAATTGGCCAACTTTAACCTTTGCATGCCATTTTATTTTGTATTGCATCTAGTTGCTACTATGGTTTTATTACTATCACTTTCCAAAAACATAGCTGAACAAAAACGCTATTAGGTTAAACTGAACCTTGCAAAGATAACTCACTGAACTTTCAGGAAGCTTTGGAGGACAAAACCAGAGATCTGTAGGTGAAATTGGGCCCATAACATAAGAGAAAACAAAAACAATGAAGGGCCTTAGTGAAATACTGGACTCACAGTAAAATAATGGGGTTCAGTACACTCCAACATCTAAATAATTTATGATAAATAAAACATTGGTGCTGTATGTCAAAATAAAGCCAATCTGGTACAGAACTAAACCCCTGGGGAAAAATGCACTCCTAGTTTTCAGTGGACCCACACATTACTTTGTCCTGGCTTGCATGTAACAACAAACCAAAGCATGGGTTGAGCACGGGCTGTCACTGTGGATTGTTATACGTGAAGCTTGCATTAGCATAAATATGGGTTTATGACTATGAACATGTAAGAAAACAAGGTAAAATGCTAGATTGTGAATTCTTGGTTGTTAATGGTTAACAACTCATATTTAAATCTTGATGCAGGGTTCACACATGATAACCCATGATTCAATGGCAAACCATATTCTACCTGTATAGAGTTGTCACTATGTATAATGGCTTTTTGTATACACAAAAATGTACCAAACAAACAGTTACGCTAGTGCCTTTGTATAACCCACCAAATCGTATTGATGTGGTAAGCATGATATCAAATTATTTTCTCTACCATTCTGAGACACTGCTGGGGACAGAACAGACCCAAATTAGGCTAAAATAATGTTTCATGGTTTCATTTCCCCATTCATTTCAACAGAGCTAGACCAGGACAGCTTGGTGATTTAAATATACATTTTTAAAAATCTGGAAAGGGGGTGCAAGATGAAGCACTACAGGACAACCTAAAGTGGAAGAACCTGCTAATTACAAAGAAACTCAGCTATGCTAGACAAGTATTCCAAATATTTCAAATGGCTGCTAATGTACAAAGCATCCCCATTACCTGGGAGAATTAAGGTACTGTACTGGATTAATAGTTGCAGAACTGCATTGTTGTAAATCATGTCTTACTTTTGCAATGTAATTTAGTATCAGCCCAAAGTTTATTCTGGGTAGGAAACTGTCCTGCCTGAAATATTAAAACTGCCTTATTTTTAGAACAGTTACAATAGACAATAGTATTTATTAAATGATATTACACATTGATTTTGAAGGTCACTTCATATCCTAGAAAGTACCATTAGAATGCAAGTCAACCTGCCCAGAAGAGTAAATAAAAAATTACCTGATAGTGTATATTCAGTGCCCTTAATATAGTCTATAGTTTCCCAGCACCTCTCATCTTTTACTCGAGGAAGCCCATCAAAGTTGGTTTTTCTGTACTCTAATACATAGTGATCAATTTTGTTGTCTTCTTCTGTCATTTGCCACGATATTGTTACACAGTTGTCAGCTACAAGGCAATCTGATAGAACTATCTCTGGAGCTCTGGGAACTGCAGAAGGAGTAAGATAGGAGACTGTTGGAAAACAGAATGCTACCTATATAAACAGAGCATTAGTAAACCAGAATGTTCCCTCTATGATTTTATGGCAAGACCCAACTGGTTGAGCACAGACTTGACCGGAAAGTACAGCTATAGAATTTTTAATGCCCTGAGGCTGATGTTTTGACTGGATCACTTATGGCCTGATCTCATACATAAATACTCAAATTTAATTTAGTGCATTTAATGACACTAGTTTGCTAGAAAGTATGCACAGGAATATAGCCTTAAGCCTTTTATGTTGCATTTCAAAACTACATACATTCAATTGTGCTATTAGCCATAAATATATTGGCCTTATGTTGTGACTTACTGCTTTTCTGGAAGTACAAGTCAGGCTAACCTACCTTTAAACATTAACCATTTTTGTACTAAAAGAACTGACAAGTGGTGTATTATTTAATACATTTATATCCTGATGGCATCCTTGCAAGATCAAAAAAGACTGGCTAAGGCAGCTTATATAGTTCTCCCCATTTTATCCTCATCACAACAATCCTGTGAGGTAACTTATGCTAAGAGTCAGTGACTAGCCCAAAGTCACCCAGGGAGCCCCATGGCCAAATTGGATTTCCTGAGTCCCAGTCCAACATCTAAACATTGCATTATACCAACTCTCAATAGTTGCTTAGCTATTGGAACAGTATACAACATTAATATTTCAGAAACTCGAGACTTTTACCTATCTTGCAAAGGTGTTTTAAGAAAGGAAGGGAAGGGGGTGGGAGAGACCCCATGAGAACTAATTTTCTGGATTATAATTAACTAATCGTAATTAGTTAATTTCCTGGATTATACCCCTGGCCAGACAGTTTAGCATTACGCAGTTTCATATACCATGGAAAGGCAAAGCGAACCTGCTTATAAGGAAGAGGACAGATCAGCCAATACTAATCCCAGGTTTGCAGCAGCTAAGATGCTAGACCAGCTGTAAATTGACAGACACACTAAGAAACAGGTCCTGAAGCATGAAGATCTGCCCTAGAGGGGTGTCTGGGTAATTTGTATTTGGAAAAAGGAAGGCTATTCAGTTTGGAATCAACTTCTTACCAAGAGGTTACACTGTTGTTATTATTGACTTTGGAAATACGCTTTGTTTGTATCTTTAAGCCAGTCTGACTGACCTGCATTTACTTAAATCAAGCTTTTAATTAGAAGGCCGTTGCCTTATGCTTGAAAGGAGGGGTAAAATTATGGCCTTGACAACTGGCTGCAACAGGTAGGATGGTGGGATCACAGACACACCTTTCTGAGGTCAAAGCACCGTCTTACATCCGATCTGGGAATCCAAAGAACTCTATGGCCCCCCTCAGATGCTGTCTAGGAGTCACAGGATCACCCCTTTACTTGTTAAAAACTTGGGGACATAAGCACCTATCAAAAACTGAATGCAATAAGGTCACATGCTCTAATACAGCACTCCTCCAGTTTGTGCTTTATGTATCAGATACCAATCATTTTGGTGTCATACCGATCTTTTGTCCTTCTCATTCTCTGTGCATGTTCATGAACCTGAGAAAACTGTGGGCAACTGTGGGCTCATTCTCACTCAAACAATGAGCACGCCAAAGTATAAAGTCCCTCAACGTTCAGCAGTATAACATGAGAAACCGCTGTTAACCTACCCTAGATACAGGGGAACGAGCTGCTCAGAACACTCCATGCAGAGGCCCACATCCTCTCATTTTATAGATCTGCATATTCGCCAGATCTTTGTTACACAATATAATGGGGCATTTTTATTGAAATGACATCAAATTTAAAATTTGAGAACGAAAAACCTTAAACACAGCACCAGCCACTCTTCCAACTTGTTTTAGTTTATTTGTATATAATTTTGAAAGCTGCAAATGTCCATGTTGATCATGGCACCAAAGAAATTTAGATGCAAGTGACAGTTTAAACTATTCATAACTCAACAAGTTCACTGTATTTTTGTTCTTCTTTGATCTTGCAGTAACTGTTTTAGGAAGGTTAGGCCAAGAAAGTTTACCCAATGACCTTTCTGGCTGAGCAGGCCTCTTGGACTCAGATATTTCTAATCTAACCCTGTTCATCATATTGGCATTCTCAGATTTTCAGCAATTTCCTAAAACCCTAATTATTGTTCAATGCAAGAGCACATTCCTAATTTCAAAAATACACAACATACAGCCTGCTTTTAATAAAAGGCCCTCAATGCTGGCAAAACTGACACTGCTTAGAACAGATTTAAACAGATTCATTCTGTTGGTACCCTGGAAATCCTACCAATCTCCCTAACCTTCTCCCTTTTAGGTTTAATGCATTTGTATTTTAACAATCAAATCATGGTTTTATGCACACCAAATGGCAGGTTAATGAATGGTAAAAGAGGAAAGATTAGACTGTGTTTTATGAAATCACTGGCTTATAGGATTTAATTCTCAAAATGATTAGGCAGTTGTGTAAGTATATTCTGAAAAAAGTTTTTCACTGCCAGAATACAGGACAGTAGGATGTGTGTGTGAGACAACTTTCTTTCCTCATTTTCACTCCCACACACAAAGGAGAGCAACACTCTCTACAACAGTCATAGCACAATGGAATGAGATTTGTTCCTTCTTTCCAAATTTAAAATTAAGTCTCAACAGATATTGGTCCCAGTGATAATCTCTCTCTTTTAATTTGGGAAGGCTGAGAAGGATGTTATGCTCAAATCAAGTCTCAATGACTGCACTAGTGCTATTTTTATAGGGTTAAGATGAGGAGAAGCAACAATGAAAGGTTGTCAAAATTATGAATTTATAAAATGTGGACGTTCTACATAGAGGTGCCAAAAAATCAGTCACTGATAAAATTGACAAAGTTGGATTTGTCAGAAGAGGACACTCACATGAGTGTCATCAGCATCATTTAAAGTTCAACTATTTGTAGCAGTCAGAACTAATGTCCCATGTGAACACTCAGAGCTGTTCGAAGACTTTTGGAAAGTGTATACCAAAGATTCCAGACAATTCATCAACTACAGTATGAAATCAGGTTTGATGTCCTGACAGTTTTGATTTGATATTTTAATATGAAGTCTTAGATTATTCCTACATGAGCAAAGAAAGGCCAAAATGTTACTCAGAAGCTGGCAATGCAAGGTAGAAGATTTTTTAAAAGACAAAATTCACTGACCACGTCGATCAAAAACAGACCCATCTCACTTTAACAGGGGATTTGTGCCTCTGAACAGAAATGTTTGGCAATACCTCAGATAGCTTAGCTACCAGTTCCATTCAGTCCTCATTAATTGATCAGCTGCTTTGGCTTTCCAGTACTACATTTGGGAAAGTATCTCTTAGTTCAACAGACATTACAAAACAAGAAATGCAGCCCAGGTTGCAATGTATATAACTACCAACCTCTCCATCCATTCCCAAATATATTTATTTATTTCCGATTTATATCCTGCCTTTTTCCTATAAAGGGCTCAAGGCAGCTTACATCATCTCTCCTCCTGCATCTTATCCCCACAACAACCACCCTGTGAGGTAGGTTGGGCTGAGAGTCTGTGACTGGCCCAAGGTCACCCAGTTGGTTCCATGGCTGAGCGGGGACTAGAACCCAGATCCTCTGAGTCCCAGTCCCACGCTCTTAAACACTACGCCACACTGGCTCTCAAATATATCCTGTTTGAATGGAAACTGGGGAGAATGTTTCCTTGCCCTCCACCCACGCAGAGTGCAAATATACACACCAGGACATGCTACAGAAATGGGGAAGGGAACAACCTGCACTTACTAATATGCATCACAATAGCAGAAGGAAAGATTGCCACCTCTTTAGAAGCATGGCAACAACATCTCAAGTAGCTCACTGGACACATCCATTTTTACCTGGCAAGAACTTTAGAGCCTGGAGCATTTGTCTTTCCTGGGAGAAGTCCACCATCAAGTGTGTCATGTTGTCACTCACTTTGGGTTTCAAAGACAGGCGGAATGCTGGAGCCATTGTGACTCTAAAGGGCAAAAATTAGGGGGAAGAATTCTTCAGATCTCCAACAGTCTATGGCCATGCTCTTGAACATACAATGTCCATTTCTTATCCACTGATTCATAGTATGCAACTTGGCTACAGCATTTGTTTTAATTCAAATGTGAACCTAAAACCATGGTGCATGACAAGTAGGGAAACATACCTTATTAGTCACTCTTGTGGCAATCTAAGGGCTATCAAGTGAGCTTTTAGAAACCAATAAACTTACAGTGCACTTATCCCTCATGCAGGAATGAATATGGCCACACTTCCCACATATCAAGCCAATTGGCCAGTTAGCATAAGAAAAAAAAAATCAATCAACTATTCATTCTGAGAACGTAAGAACTGAAGCCCTGCAAATGAAGTTTCAGATCTTTGTACTTGTCTGGTATTCTGGAAGATCAGAAAATCTAGGAAATAGTATTTTTAAGATTTGCAATCACAACTTTCTTGTTCCTAGTTGTAAACTCCTAATCCTCTTTGGTCATAGCTTACGGACTACCTATTGTACTACCCAAAATTCAAACATTTGCACTTGCATCACTATCAGGCTAATCCATATCAGGAGAATCCATTCCTTGCTTCATAGTAAGAGTCTGTATTTCTTGCTTACAAATGAACCTTGCAGGACAGTAACAGCTGGACCCTAAAATCACGCAAGAGTTCCATCCATGCAAAGTGTGTTCCTACTGCCTGCTGCTGGAAGAGAGGGCAGAAATTTTACCAGTTCTGCCTTCTCCCAAAAATCCAATCTCTGGAGAACAGAGAACCGTTTAAACAGTGCAGGAGGTGGTACAGAGAACAGGCAAAATGTGAACCCCTCCCCACTGGCAAGAATTGCTGCTTGATCAAAAGCCCTTTGGTTCACTTAAGGGAACTTTAGGAGCTAGCCCTAAAACTCTCACTGAATTCTAGGAAGGTAGGTACTTTGGGTTTTGGGGGGGGGTTGGTGGGGGGCAGAGGGGGAAAAAACAGAGAACATTTTCACAAGTTACTACTTCAGGGAGGAATTGGACACTATATGAAATGAGATTTCTGTTCCAACTCATGACAAAAAAAATTAAATCTAAGAAGTTACCCAGTCAGTCTCAAAATCTAAAATCGAAAAATTATGCCAAACAATGAAGCTGACAGGGGAGCAAATGACTTTAAAATAAGAAAATGCAGAGACCTATACTACACCCAGGCCTTTCTTCAGGTTGACTACTGTTGGCAATAAAAGCAAAGGAGATCCCTTTTGGGGCTCAGGCTGAGAACTCTTTCTCAGACATCCTACTCTGGTAAGGCTAGCTTCCACAGGTCCTTTCTTCAGCAATTACCTCTTGACCCTGCCCCATGCTAGGCCTGGAACACATACTTCAGAAAACACCCAAAGGAAACAGAACAGCCTCTTAGTGTCCGGAGTTCTTCATCTTATATATTCTAGAGGCATAATCAAGCTTCTCCATACTAGGTTTCCCAGACTCCGATGTAAGGAGGCACGCGGCATCCCAATGCAGACCTCAGCTTGCCCCAGTGATCCTGTAAGAGACCACATTGATCTCACAGACCACTAGGAGGGCTCTTTCAGCAGCAGTCCACTGGTGACGAGTGTCTGATCTACCTGGGCCCTTGCCACTCAAAGCTGCTTTTTCATACAGGAAGCCATATATGAGCAAAGTTTAAATACACAGGAGTTGGAACTGCAGGGCTGCTTCCTTCTAATAAAGCAGTACATTATGTTTGTTCTAGAAGTATGGCTATGCACCTTAGATGGCTACTGTCTAAGTCTCGCTACTACCTGCCTGAATTCAAGCATAAATCATACGTATGGCAGAGAAACCTGAAACAGACCAACAGGTTCTTATGTGTAGCCTGGTTTGCTCTGTGCTCACTTTGACGAGGTAAGCCTGTATCAGGTTAAGCACCACATGGGAAATTGGAGACTTCTGCACTCAGAGTGTGCTGGAGTGCATATATACAGAGTTCTCTCTTCCTTTATGTGAGTACTTCTCATCTATTCTGGAATACAGAGTTTCGGAACAGATGTACAAGTGCCCTTTTTTCAGATTTTTCTCACCGTCAGGTCATTTTGAGCAAGAAAGTGTGCAATACATTTCAGTCTTTTGTTTGTGTAGAAGAAACCAACAACTTCTGATACCACCACCGGTGAGGCTTAATGTTATATAAGACAAATATATTTAACCACTTACCAGAGGTTCCTATACAACTGTCAAACCACATGTAGAGCCTTCCCCAACCATATAAAGTACACACATTTTCTTGGTCACTGAATGACAGTTCACACACATCACAAGCAGGAGGAAATATGAACCCAAACTGAGTAATGTCTTATTACCATGCAAAACTCATTTTTGTCTTTTGGTTACATAAATCTTGATTAAAAACAGCATACTCCCTTAGTACTGGAATATACTTAACTCCAATTAAGAAAAATGAGCAACAGAATCAAAGAAGTTTGTACTGTACCTATCCTTGATCTGTCTGGCAGCCTTGAGGTGCATCAGGAAGAAGAGAGAGAAGGTAGTTAATGGTTTCATGCAAATTTCATCTGCAGTAACATGCAAGAAAATTAGAGTATCAATTTCAGATGTGAACCAGAATTTTATCTTAAGATGTGCCTCACAAGCCATTGTTAATTCAAAGTTATTAGGCATTCAATGCTAAGCAAACACAGCCATTTCAACAAGCCATCTACAAATCCCACATTATGTCATCAAGTCTCTGTACTAACATTAACAATAAGCAGTCCCACCTAGGAATATGCAAGTGAAATTTGATGTTTTGTACAGTGTGAAAGCTATTAGGTAGTGAGATTATGTTTGACTGGTGCCAGAGCTGAGCCATCCTCTCTCCTGCTGCCCCCCGGCAGTATCACTCTGTATTTATCAGACAGTTTTCTTTTCCACAGAAGTCCTTCAGCAAAATAGTTTTCAAACAGAGGGAATCTTACCTCACCCCTTAGCTTTGGAATGAACATAGTGTTATAGGTTGCAAGAGACCAGGAAATGTTCAGAAATTCTTAAACCCAATGGGATTTTTAAAACAAGTTAGAAACCAGAATTGATTAAAAAAATGTTGGCATGACATGAAAACCCTATTTTAGTTATGTGACCCATGGTGAGTTTGTGGTATGTGCAGTTACCATTTTGAATATAAAACTCATACTCAGGAAGTGTCATGTTAAGGCAAACCCAGCAAGTAGTTTAAGTGACATAATATAACCATAAAACAAAGACCAGGTTCACGCATAATGCTAACTCATGGAATCAACCCATGGACCGCTGAATTTTGGCAGTTGTGTAGTCAGCCACATTAACAAATCATGATCCATCAACCATTAACCTCCCAGAAACAGAACCCATGGATGGATGTTGGGTTGTGAACCCTAGGTTGCTTAAACCATGGGTTGTCATGATGTGTGAGCTCAATGCCAGGTTGTTTTGCCAGGTGGAATGCAATAGTGATTAAAAATAAAACCCTCCTGGCTACTCTGTATATCAGTGGTGCAACACTGTAAAGATATTTGGGTACAAGGAGGAAGAAAGTGGAAGAGAAAGGAAACAACTTAGGGACTAAGAAAACAAATCACTGTTTGTTTGATCATCTGCCAGGTAAACCCTAATTAGGTCAACAAAACATGGCTTAGCAGTTATCTGCAAACCAGGTCAAAGAAACACAGCTATAAATTGTTTGCTAGGACTCTGAAGTCAGATATATAGCAAAAAGTTTCAGGAAGTCTGATCAACAAAAAACTACTGGAGGAGGTGATCTTACCTGGGGTCCCTTTTTAAACCTAACCTCTACAAAATTAATATAGATGACAGATGTGAATGCACAGTAATTATAACTGACATAATGTTCATTATTTTAAATAAAAATAAGATAATTATATCAACAAAATGAGTGAGGACTTGCCCATTGTCTTTCAGTGAACATGACAGTGATTCAGTTGCTTCTACTCTTGGTCATGTTCAAACCCAGCCCTCTGCTTCACAGAAGCCCAGTATGTTGAAAGCCTGAAAGCAAAGTTGTGCTCCTTTCTACTACAAGATTCTATATGAATTGTTGTTTAACATTGTCAAGCTTGTATAGTTTGCTTATTACGTAAATATTTAATAGTATGTGGATTAAAGAGGTTACTCAATGTATTTAGCTGGAAGGGAAAGTGATCTCCTGCAATAAACAAAGTATAATCTGCTACCTCAGCAGTTGGCTGTCTGTAGAGCTGCACTGTCTTTCATAACAAATGAACATCAGTCATTAATTTAAATAGATGCAATGCACATCAGAAGAGTAATAATTATACAAGGCATAAAAGGAATATGAAGTCCGCTTTCACAGCAAATATTGAACAAAATAAACAGGGATTGGGATTCGGCTTTCCTTGACTCACTCCTTTCCTTTGAACAGAGGCATTTTCAGAATTTCTTCTGACACAAAATACGAAATGGTCACCACTAGAATGAATTCACATGCTCTAAAAGCTAAGTAAGTGGCATTAGCTAGCAAGTATTATTTGCTGTGCGCAGCAAAGAACTTGTCAGTAAAAATGCTGAAAAAGTAACTTTAAAAAATGCACTCATGTATTTAAAAGTTTACAGATCAAAATTACTTTTGATCCATGACTATTTGACAAGTAAAAAAGGATGGAGTAACAAACAGAATGCAAGAATCTGGATTTGTTGTGAGGTTCAGTGAGGCAGACATAATCAAGGAACTGAAGCCTGGGAACCTGGATGATGTCCAGGGAAAACACTGTACCAGATGGAAGGGAACTATGATCTGGTAGAGAATAATATCAACTAAATGGATTTTTTTAAAAAATGAGGATGGACAAATCTGGGCTACCAGATGCTATGTGAAACAAAGAGGACACAAGGAACAAATTTAACTTCTCCATTCGTGCCTTGGTTTAATTGCTAAGAAAATACCCAAAGCAATTCCAAATGGACTAGTTAAAAGTGTCAATTCACAGATGAACTTTACAGCACTTTAAACACAGATCAGAACTAATTCAGATACCTGAAGACAAGTATTTTGGTCAATCCTTTAGAACTGCTTCAAGTGTAAGTTTTAAAGCATTACAGACTGCCCTTTACAGGAGCATACAGCTTCCTTTCCGACAAATATACCAAAAGTCTGGCAGGCAAGTACAACTAGCAGGGCTTGAATTTATTTTTAGTAAGACTGAGGCAGAAAGCACTAGAAAAACCCACAGGTGAAATCTACGTAATAGAAGAGTTGGGAATATTTTGTACCGCTGAGATAAACTAATGATCTAAAATAGATTACAATTTCTACTTTACTCCCAGCTTGCAGATTTTTCCATTCAGTAGTTCATTTATCACTCTATTTCTAGAAACCCAGCTAATGCTAATGACATCATTGCTTTGAGTGCAATACATATCATGCATGCATACTCTCTAAGTAGCTGCATAGCTGCCTACTAAAATTATGCAATGATGCTGCCTTATTTTATTTTAAATGCTCTTAGCCATTAAGATATTGGCTACTAACTTGGCACAGGCCAATTCAGATTCTGTAGGGTTTTTAAAAAAATCTTTAGATATTATATCTTGAGCTTGTATGAAAATTACTCTTGGTTACAAAACCAGTCATTAAACAATTCTGTTCTCCTCACACGTTTGAACAGTCCCACCAGAAACACTTAGAACTGGATCCAATACTGTCCCATCAGCCAGAGGAACAGATACCCAATTTGCTATGCAGTGTAGGGGAGGGAGGCTTCTGGAGCAGATCTGGGGTTCTTGTAGGAGGGGAAGTGCACAAGTCCATTCACGGAAAGCTGTTGTAACCTTTAGAATGTAGTTTATGACCCAAGAGATTTTGATCAGGTCCACATTTCTAAAATACTTGCACACAAGTGACATGAAGTTGCAGCTCATACAGAATGTGGCAGCTAGATTAACAACTGGGACCTCTAGGTCTAAACATATAGGACCAGTTCTGGCTCACCTGTTTTGCCTGCTTATATGTTTTTGGACCCAATTCAAGGCACTCATCTTAACCAATAAAGACTTAGAACTGCACCTCTCCCAACTGCAAACCAGTTGGACACTACACTCAACCTCTGGGGCCTTCCTCTGAGTGCCGACTAGGAGGGTGGCAACCGGGGGGGGGGGGCTTTCTCTGTGGTGGCCCTCCATCTTCAAATCAACCTCCCTGCTCCAGCCTTCTTTGTGCCAAAACTTGACAAAATTTCGGCATCAGGTTAAGACAGTGCTTTTATGGTAAGGCCTTTAAAAATCTGCTTGGTTATCCAGGAGCCTAAGGGGATTATCCCGTTTTTTTAAGCTATTTTGAATCCATTTTAATGTTGCTTTGTTTTTATGACTTTGTATTTTATTGTTTTGTTTTATGCATCCTTGTAAACTGCCCAGAGAATTTTGGCTATTGGGCAAAAAAGAAATTAAATGAAAGAAATAAACAGTACTGTGATGTAACAATTCTGTTTTTCCTGTTGATATTTGGCAAGTTTTATACCTTTGAAAATTCTTCAGAATCCTTTATGTCCAGTGACCGAGCAGCAAATTCTAGCAATTCTTCGGAGTTCTCCAGGGCATTATTACATTGGCTAAGCTGATTCTAGAGGAGGAATGCAAAAAGCCGTTCAGTATGCCAGGCTATACTAAAGTTTGTTAGAGAACAATATTTCTTCTCTCCCTGCTTCCAGAGTTTATGATTTACATAAAGATGGATGGCTGGTTCACCACTTAAAAGGAATAAGGTAGAAGCTGATGGAAAGACATCTCCCCAAGATCCTACAGAGCTGCTGCTAGTCAGAATAAACACTACACTTGATGGATAAGCTGCCTGACAGTTTCCTGTGTCATGTCTGCCATATCTTGTTACATAGTAGGATCTGTCCAAGCTGTTTTCATAAGGAAGTAACCTTCTTTATAACCTTTATAAACATATACTACACGTTCAGATCATCTGCAGAATGTAGGCTACCACTTATCCCCATAGGACTTTTCCTTTAAAAAACAATCATTTAATTCATCCAGTACCAATACTGGCTCAGATATTAAGCAAAGAAGGAGCTTGGATGCTGGCCAAACACCATTAGGGGGCTCTAACTAAGCTAGCACTTTTAAATCCACAGACTTTCCCATCTAATAAATTAATTAAGGCCAATAAACTGACGCTCTAGAAGACTGAACCTGCAGCTCAAAATGCAGCAGCAAGATTAATAAACTGAACCAGACAGTCCAAACATGCCAGACCAATTCTGGCCTACTTGCATTGACTGCTTATATGCATCCAAGCCCAATTCAAGGTGCTTATTTTAAACTATAGAGCCTTATGCAGCTTGGGACAGACTATCTGATGGACCAACTGCCTCTCCCAACCACAGTCTACCCAGACACGGCAATCAACATCTGATATCTTCCCCCAAGCACCACCTCCAAGGAAGGTTCACAAAGAAGCAGAAAGGGGCAGGACCTTCTCAGTGGCAGACCCCAACTGTGAAATGATCTCCCCCAATGTCTACCAAACACCAACTTTGTCATCCTTCTGACACCAGGTATAAACAGAACAAAACATTCTGGGTAAAGCTATAGGTAAGTATTAAATCCTTTGGTAGACTTTGCTTGAGGCAAAGCAGTCTAGGCAAATTTATAAATATTGAAGATTACTGAAGACATTTGCTGTTATAGTTGATAAAGACAAAGCAATATACTGTTTTGCTTAGTCAATTAGCAATTAGGTCCAGTAAAGATAGGACTTATTCCTGGGAAAAGTACAAAGTATAAGGCTAGAAAAGTGGCTTATAATGTCGAACTGCTGAGTTTTGGAATACCTTTTCCTAAGCTTTAAAATGTCCTATTTTTTCTCCTTTCCCTGTGTTGGCTATGGTTCAGCGGATGCCATTTGCTATCAAGTGACAGTTTTGTCATACGATATTAAAGCATCCAGGTCACTGTGCTCAGTACAACAATGCTCAATATTAACAAACAAGGTTTCCAGTATCTAAAAGCATCTTGCCTGCTCATAAGGCAGGGCCATTTTTCTTTGCTCACTGTATTTTATAGTCAGACCACCAGAAGTTAATACCTGCATTAATCCCTGAAGAGAATGATCTAATACTGTATCAGTATCCTTTCAAGCGGCATTTGTGCCTATGACTTAAGAGATACTGCATTATTTTGCAGCTTCAAGTACATGGGAGCTGTGCATTATACCAAAACTGGAAGTATAGTTAGGTCAGCCAAGTAAATCCATATACATTTACTACACGTTTTACTGGATCAAGAGGCTTAAGGCTGCAAAAGTGGCTTTTTCCCAAGAAGGGGGTGAAATGAGAGTACAGCAATCAGCAGTGGCCACTAACATGGCCAAGTAAACAAGAACAGTGACTCGATGCAGGGCTTGCAAGCAGTGCTCCACTGCTTAGCCACTAAAAGCACCCTTCCATTGTCCCAGTATGAGTCTTCAGAAACTGACAGGACCACCAAGGCATGTCAAACTTCATATTGTGGACATATGGAATATAGAGAACACAAGTTAAAACATGCACATGCCAGTTCTATGCGTTCATCTGCTGGGCACACTGAACTTTCAGTATGGAGGGGTACTGCATCCATGCTATCTGCTCCCAGCAAAGAAGATAGAGGCATCAAAAGTACTTACTTGACTTTGCTTCTGGAAAACCCAAGCATTAAAGCCACGTTTCTCTTACCATAAAAACCAACTGTACCCTTTAGACATTACTGAAACATTGCAAATGCTTGTTTTTTATCTCTAGGTATAAAACTTTCCAAGTGTCATGATTTCTACTGAGTCCTTCCTTCTGTAATTTATTATTTGGTAACTATCAGATAATTTCATAAAAATAAACAGGGCCTGCATCTGTCAGTATTATTATGCCAAGAGTGTGAAAATGAGACACCAGAAACTTGGCATGCATACTAAGGGAGTGTGTACCTAAAGGTTATTTGGTCTTTAATTTATATTTTACATTTGCTCAATGAGTTAGTGCAATGTACTGGTTAAGAGCACAGAGCTTGGAATCAGGAGATCAAGATTTTAGTCCCCACTAAACCATGAAACTCTTTAGGTGACTTTGGTCCAGTCAGACTTTCAGCTTAACCTACTAAACAGGGCTGTTCTTGTAAGGATAACACCAGGGGGTTGGACCTGATGGCCTTCATGGCCTCTTCCAGCTCTACTCTTCTATGATTCTATGAAAATGAAGAGGTTTCTTGCAAGAGGAAGAAAGGCAGGATATAAATGCAGTGCATACCCATGTGTGAACTTTGCAGTGCCACCTTCAATCTCTAGGTGGTAGACATCCCCAACCAGCACACACCTTTGCAGATGATAAAGTCTGAAGGGAAGGGGGAAGTGTTTCAGAGGGCAATTACATAGCTGCACCCTTCACCCTACTCTGAGGCAGCTCTCCCACTCAAGGAAATGAAAAGGCCTATAGAAGGACCAGTCGCATGACTTCATTCAGGCCAGGCAGGCACAGTGTGTCTAACTCTGACGACCTGTTTTCCAAACTTTGTCTGAAAGCTTCCCAGTACCAAAGGGCTATTCCAAGATGGCTGAAACTGGGCTCAATCACTAGTATTTTCATAACAGACGGAAGGGAAAATAGAGCAAGCAATTAAGCAACTCAGCATCAAGACGACTTCATGAAGGAAAATTAGAATTTGTAGAGATCCTAGAGCACAGCTGCCTGCCTGGGTAGAGTTACACCTGAACTCAGATCAAGTAAATGTGTACAAAAGATGGAGCCAATTAATTTAAGTACCAAACTTTTGGGCAACACTAGAAATGCAACTGCAACTAAGTTTCAATAAAAATGCCTTTCATAAATGAAATCTGAATTACCCAAGCTACCCAAGCCTGGTTTCCAATTCATTTAACTAACATGCCACAGGAACTTAAAATATATAAAGTAAACAGCAAAATGTGCAGTAAAGATCCTCAGTTATCTTACGTAATGTAATGTTATACAGGCAAGCTAATGTTTTTGCCTCCTTCAATACTACTTTTGCCTTCAAGGATAGCACTGTACTGACCAAGATAATTTGACTGATCATTAGCATACCTATATAAACAATATATACTCAAAACATATTCAGCACATTATATCTATCAGTATTAGCAATGGTCTTCATTTTGCAAGAGAAGCAAATTATCTATGTCTCAGTCTATCATGAAGTTAGAAGAGATTATGAGTCCAACACTGCAGCCCAGCAACCAAAACAAATCCTTGCTATCCACATGACCATGACAAGTTTTGCATGTAAGGCACACCAAGCCAAATGTCAATGTCAGAATTTGTAGAAACAAAAGCTGCAAGAGACCAATAAAGAAGCAGCATGCACAAAGGCACATTGATACCGCAATATCAATGCTTGAAGCACTAGAGGAATTCTGGAATGTGGCTGAAGGTTCTTGTGTGCCTATTTGCATGTCAACATTCTAGTACTCCTCATACCTTAAAGTACTACAGCAAGTAAAACTTAAGCATACTGGAAATGAAGTTTTCAGAAGTACTGAAAGTGTCTTTGCAAACTGTATCTGACTTCAGCTTATAGACTGTCAACTGTTTAAAGTTAGGGAAAAAGCAGCAAGGGACTTTGTTAAAAATGTTGTATGAGGCAAATGAATTAAGTCACAAAAATAAAATGTTTAAAGCTTGTTCTTTTGGAAGCAAGAAAGGCATTTTAAACACTTTGCAACTTTACTAATTTTGTTCTTTGTTTTTTCTAATGTTCTTCTGTACACATGGCCCTGCTCAGATTTTACTTTGCTAAGCAGTTACTGAACATGCAACAGAACAATTGGTCCACATAAAACTGTAGAAGTACAGTTTGAATAAAAGAAAAGTAGTTGAAACATCTGCATATACTTTGAAATACATGGTCATGTTTTCTTTCAGAAAGCTAACCTACACTTCACAGAAAGTTTGCATCACTGCCTACTTATGTAATTAATAAAATTTTTCCTACATTATAAAAACTTGAGATTTTTACAAGAAACATATATCCAATTACCTGAAGTTCTTGAGTTTTATGAGCTTGTTCTTGCTTGATACTCGTTGTCATGCTCTCTTTCATTTCATCGAGTATGGAGTATAAACCATCAAACTCCTCATCCAGCTCAGCAAGTACACTGGAAGAATTAGCCTGTAAACAGAGTTTAATTGTATATAAACTGTACTGCTGGCTTAATACATTTGCTTACTCATCACAAACTATAAACAAATGCAAGCATCACATTGCCATATTCTCATCACTGCAGCACACTGCATTTTTCCAACATAACTGTAAAATTGAGGATAACTGTAAAGAAAATCAGTATGTATGCAAAAAATCTGCCCTATTGCCTTAGTAAGCCTGACTCAAATACAACTTAGTGGCTCAGAAAGATCATTATTAACCCACCAAGATACAGTTTTCTTTTGTCTCAGGTATTTGTAAAGGTTTACAGAGAAACACAAAACAGAGGCATACAGAGTTTGCAGTTAGAGAATACTTTTAAAAATATGTTAATTTGCCTCACATATTTAGCAAATTTATACCTTGCCCTTTAAGGAGCTTCAGAAATGATATATGCACTTATCCCATTCTATTTTCACAAATTGTTCTGTTGGTAATCTAACAGAGCGAACTTCATGGCTGGGCAGGGATCTGAAACTCAGTTCAAAATCAACCTTTTGCCTACAGTAGTGAAGTAGCTAATACAAGAGTTTCTGATAATATATCCCACCTGTTTCAAAGCATACAGAGCAATAGCCAACTGAGTTCTACTGCTAGCAGTAATGATACTGCACTAGTATAAACACACACTTCCACAATGTAACTAGCATGATGGAGGGCAATAGGGAAAGGCAACACTTTGCTACTTCTGTAGCAAGCACAAATTGCAGTCAAATATTGGCTTCAGCTGGTGCAACATTACTAGCATTAGTGCTGGGGCACAGTTGTATATTACCACCAATTTAGAACTCAGACCCAAATCCACCAAAGCCTTACAGTCAACATATTTGGCATGTTTCTATATATTTATCACAGACTGCACCTGCTGCCAATAACATGGCCCATCTTCACTAACACATTACAGGTTGGAACAAGTTCTCTTTCTGCCTGAGGCAAAGGCCCACTACTACTGGCAGCCAAGCAATATTCACTTCTCTACCCAATATTCAAAACTTGGGTAGAGAAGCTGCCCCAAGTTTTGTAAGCCTTTGCCAAACTGAGATTCAGTGGAGACTTACTCCTATCCTTACAAGGCTCAGATCCTGTATGCTTATCTTTATCTTTGAATAAAATAATTTACACAAGTTTCACAACATACCTGTACACCTTTTAAAGTGTGGTTTAAAGCTTCGATGAAGTTTTGGATTTCATCATTTTTGTGAGCTAATGTGGAGATAATCCTCTGCAATGCTTCCTAGAATTAGAAAAAATAAATTCATTATATATCTATGTTCCTTTTTAATGAACATGAATGCTTTCTAGTAAGCCTTATTTGGTAAGCCATCCTTTGGTAAGATCTTTTTCTCGATTCTGTATGCTTTTATTATTTTTGCTGTAAAGAAGAGGCATGTAATCTCTACAGACACAAATTCACAGTTTTGAGAACTGTAAAACCAAGCAACTGTGATATCTCCTGGACAGAAAAAATGGCCCAATATTCTTCCAGAATCCTCTGGAAGAATATGATATTGTGAACTGATTAATGGAATTCATTTACCAAAAAATCTGAACACTGCATGAATATACAGCCACATGCTACATAATTAAAAAACAATTCTTATTTCATGATGAATAACCTCTGGACTATAATGTATCTTAAATAAAAATATCTTTAGATTTTCCTCAAAAAGTATTTTATTTAAAAAAATCTTATTTAAATAAAAAATCCAATTTAAATTTTTAAAAATCATTTTTTTAATAACTGATTTTTATCCACCATGCTCATCAGAGATCCATCCTCTCCCCCTCGCAACTGGCACAAGAACCACCACAAATGCTGGCCTCTGAAGTGAAGAACTTGACCACAGAGAGCAGCAAAAGTCTTCTCTTTGGGAGATGACTGGACAGGCCAGAATACAAGCTATCCCAGAGCCTCTGTCAATATCCTTTTCTGCCACTCCACATCAGCAAGACTAGATGGGCCAAAACAACAACAGCAACAGCTGTTAAAAATGCAGGATGGGAGGACAGGGCAATGCAGGCTACCCTTGCTGCTCCTCTCACCCTGCGCAGAATGATCATGAGCTCTCAGGTATGGGTGACTGTGCCCTTATTGGACATATAACATACTAAAGTCAAGCTGAACTGAGCAATACACACAGTATTAGGGAGAGCCAGAGTGGTGCAGTGGTTAAGAGCATGGGACTGGGACTCAGACGATCCGGGTTCGAGTCCCTGCTCAGCCATGGAGCCAACTGGGTGACTTTGGGCCGGTCACAGACTCTCAGCCCAACCTACCTCACAGGGTTGTTGTGGGGATAAGATGGAGGAGGAGAAATGATGTAAGCTGCCTTGAGCCCTTTGTAGGAAAAAGGCAGGATATAAATCCAAAAATAAAAAAAATAAAAAAATATTAACACAAACTTATATGAGCAAGCCTCAGCTCTCTTAACGTTAGATTAAGTCCCATATTTGGTGGTCCAATGGGAGGGCAGAATTAATACATGTTTACTCAACCTTTTGGCTCAACAATTATGCAAGAACAATCAAGATTTGTCACATCTTCAAGGATAAAACATACACATTTTGCTTATATTATCAATTCAGCATGTTATGAAATCACACAATTCCTACAATATGCCACTTAATAGGATTTGCTATACAAAGGAAAATATATCAGTACTTGTAAAAGGTTCACTGCAACCTGAACCTGAAGTTTCACCTCATTTGTATTTATATATCATGTTATTTCTGACTAATACATAGAATAATCTGAGACACAAAAAATTGTTTTGCAATTTTTTTTCAAGGAATGCTATTTTTCCATGGAAATGTTTCCATACCATACATGACTATCCATAGGCCCACTGACTGCAATCAAGCCCTTCAGTTGGACTAAATACAGGATATGAACTTCTCCAAGTTATTTTTCTAAGGCAAGCACTGACAAATACTAGTCCTCGGTTGTCCATATGGGGGGCGGGGGGAGGTTAAGGTATGACAGCCCTTTCCTGTGCACAATGCGGTTTGTTCTCAGCTGGTGTATTTGCTTCTATTGGTAGCATCCTTCAATAACAAACTGAAGGAAAAGTGAAACAAAGATTGTGATTACCATTTGTTTCAGTTAGCACATTGCCAACAAGCTGCACACAAGCAGTGTGCAACAGCATCTTCATGCCCAGTTCCCCAGCATGTGACCACAAACTCAGTGAAATAGTTGTTACAAATGTTCTCAACTGGAACCAATAAGCAGTGCAGAGAGTAAGAGAAGCTGATGGAGCTCTAATTATCCCAGCAAAAGCAGCGATAAGATATATCAATCCTCTTTGGGTATGCATCTTAAAACAATGTGTTCTTTCAGATGTAGTTATAAGGTTTATTTATATTTGACAAAGAATAAGGAAATATATGCTATTATCTTTATACTTTTACTGGTTTCCTTAACCCAGGAATTACCCAGAGATGGGCAGAATACATTACTTGCACAAAGGCCATTTCTGCTTTTAATTACCACCCAGGACTGCCCATTCCTGGGTTGTCTCATGACATATGAACTTGGAAACATTGAGTTTTCCATGAGTCAAACAACCCAGAGTTAAGTGTATAATAAATCAGGAGTTAATTCTGGATTGTGTAACCCATAAAAACCCAATTTCCAAGTTTACAAGTCATGAGACTAGTGGTACAGTTTTTTCCAATTATTTTGAATAGGAAACTTTCCTGCAAAAGGGTAATTTGCATAGGAAAAATCTCATTTGTATTAGCAAATTTTACAGTGTGAATCAAGAAACATTTCTTTTCAAATAAGACATCAGAAAAATTTCCATCTGGAAGAGTTTCCATCCCATATTAAGGAAACAACCCAAGGACTCTTAACTAAAAGCAGAAATGACTCACATGCTCTGCTTGTCCCTGTCTATTCCGGGGTTAAGGAACCCCAGGACTGCTGCTGTTACTTATGAATCAGTATTTACCATTTTTAAAGAAATAAGAACTTTGATTTAAGCAGCAGCAGCAGCAGCAGCCAAAAAATCTCCCTTTTAGCTACTCTGTGATATTCAACAAATCCTGGTGGTAAGCACATTGTGTCTTTACAGTCCATTAAATTTCAAACTGTGTACACTGTGCCTGAGCAGCGCTGAAGCTTGTAGCATTTTGACCACATTGCTTCAGTTTGGGCTGACACTCTACTTTTACAGTCAGCAGACCCTAGGTGCGTAGCATGTCTGGTGCCCTAGAGCTAAGCCTTAGATCCTATATATTCAACTGTCACTTTACATCAGAAGAGGTCTTCTTACCCATTTAGTCTTACCACATGGAAATCATTTTATAACCATGTTCAGAAAGGCAATAACTAATTTGAGGGCAAAGGTTTCCATGTGAAAGGCAGCTACTCCTAAAATATAAACATACCATGGTGTGTTATTTTTACTTACCAACCGTATCACTGTAAACAAAGTTGGAAAATGAAGCTTAAGTTAGACTAGAAGATACTTATTAAATGATGCCAAACATTTAAGCACAACTTCAATACTTTAAGAGTCTTGTTGCACATCACTGAAGCAGCTAAGCACAAAATGGGTATGTTATCTGTCATCTAAGCTACCAAGTTAGATTGTGCCATACACTTTTCAAGCACACTTATAATGCATCTCCCATATAGCGCACAACTCTTAGACTGATCCAATAATGCTTCACTAAATGGATTAGCATTGAAGTAGTATACTTTAATTCATTTTAAGAAGCAAAAGTTGGAACCTGAAAAAACCAGAAGTGGTTGAAAGAAGAGGAAGGAAGTCGTGCCAGTTAAAAGAAGTCTGTTAAAATTTACCAGAATCTGCCCAGCTCTTTTTTACAATTTTGTAGGAAAGCTGATATCATCAGCTGAAGGAGATCTGTTACTATTTATGGCTTATACTAATAAAAACTAAGAAGCCATACATCATGAAACATCAAATGCTTCATTAGTCTCTAGAAACAGCTGGAGGAAAACTGAGGTTCTTATGCCCATTACCTACACTACCTTTCTTTTTACACATAGAATTAAAGGTGATCCATAATTAAGATCTCTTAGAAAAGACCTGCTGAGTTTTGCTTAAAATTGGCATCCATTATTAGAATACAGAATAATTACTAATTCCATACAGCAATAACATTTAAGCAATGATGACATTAGGATCCGAACACATGACTTGATAAAACCATCAAGTCATGGTTTTATCTGTGCAATTCTTAATTTACATACTAGGATCAAGTGGCAGAATATTTCTTCTTACAGGCACACACATAACCTTGTTCAATTTTCTATATACTGAATTATTGATAAACTTCTCTTCAATGCTCTACCACCCTGTCCTACTTTATAAGGACAGCATAGTCATCGGCCTTAACAGGATTCAAAAGTATATATTCACTGGGATTCCTCACTATGGGACTCAGCTCTCTCAAAATCCACACTGCACAGGTACATATATTCATTTTCCCATAAAGCATCTCAGCCAAATTATACAAGACATGGTGGATACATCACTGAATCTCCAAACTTTCTTTTGATTAATTTGCAACACAGTCTATGTCCAGATAGGACTGTGGCATTAGGGAAAGTATAACTCTGCAGCTAATCTAACTCCAGCAAAGCAGCAATTTTTATTGTCTAAAAACAGAGGAAAGTGAAATATTGCAAAAGGAGATCCAAAAACCAAAGCTAAAAGCCAAAGTAGGGTAATATCCACAGGTATGAAATAGTAACATTTTAATTGGACCTAATATAGCTATTGGCCTACTGTGAGTTTTGGATTTTTTACATGGAGCCTCATGGCTATTTACATATTTTGCTCATTTGGAGAATACCATACAGGTAGCTTATTTATGTCTATAGTTTTCCCATTGTGTGTAAATAGATACATGATTGTCTTTCTTCATCCTACATTATCAGTTTTCTTCTGAGTCTGATGGAAGAAAGCCATCAGCTCTAAGATTTCTCTGCATAAACCATGCTGCTAATCAACTAACACAGCAAAAGCCTATTTCAGCACTTACTTGACAGATCTACTATAATCCATGGGAAATGTTATGCCATGGCCAGGAAGGCAATACTACCCCATACAAAAGCAATTCTCATTTGAGTTATGATGGCTGCTACTAGTTAAATATAATATCCAAAACTGGCAAATTCAGTATGTGGTACTTTTACTACTATGCACACATTACAATAATTAAACCATTACTCTTTTGGTAGCATAGTTATGACTAAGAAAAAAGAAAGAAAACAGCTGCATTTAGGTTAGTTTGTCTAAGTAAAGCCTCATAAAGCATTAACACTGGCTTCTTCAAGTGATGTTTGAATATTCACTGGGTCTGTTATAAAGGGATCCACATCTACTTTCCAACCCATGATGTCAGATGTCAATATTAGCCAGTTTACTAGAAGTACTGCTGACACATCAAATTGTTCCTCCCTCTATCTTACCTCCTTTCTTTACAGAAGAAGAGGCTAAATAAATCACCAGTACGTCTTTCACGGATCCCCTTCTATTCAATCTACCTTGCATACTCCTGTTTACATATTCCTATATTCATAGCAAACAGATGTGGGAATAAGGAGTTGTTATCATATTTTTTACAGCTGGCAAAATTAAAGTACTCAAGTGTTTTAAGATGTTGCAGAAATAGTTCTCAAAGACTTTGCTTGGGTTTTACATAGGCCCAAACAAGAATTTTGCCCACATTTGAGTTTAGACCACTTATCAGCACTGGGCTACAGACATTGACCAACACTGGGAGTTCAAGAATATCGTATTTGTCTTATTCAGAAGTAAACCTCACTTATTTTAGTCACATGTTCAAATACTGCTTTATAGACTGCATTCCCTATTACTTGTTTAAGTAAATTGCAAGGAAACATAATCAATATTATTGGGACAGAAAATAATGTAAGTACTTGGGAAGCCAAATAAAGTTCCATTAACTTTAGGACTATTAAGCGCTCCCCAACTACCAAAAAGCCTCTATAAAAAGGCAAGCCTTGAATATTTGTTAAGCTGCAAAGAATATTACTGATGTACCTCCTAGTTGCTGTTCCACCAAGGATCATCTTCTAAAGGTCTGTACTGAAGTTTAAACAATATTAGTCTAAACAAATATTAAACAGATTTCCTATTTAAATCATTATTTATGTATGCTTAATTTTCAAAGGACTGTAAGCATCTTGTTGGCCTTAATAAATAGGATAGTGTCTGAAGCCAAGCAGTTATTCTATGATTGATATGTAGCAAGATAAAAGACTTAGATTTTGAAATTTCTGATCAAATTTTATTTGAATGGCTTAATTTTTCTTGTGAGAGAATTAAAGTCTTGCAGCTTTGTTTTCTCTGTTTTTTAAGATAAAAGGAGCAGGGGACAAACAGGAGAGAAGAGGTGTTTGACAGAATAATTTACTTAGGAATCTCAGAGTGCTGGATGGAGCTTATTCCAAATAAGCTTGTATGAACATGTAGCTTTGGGTTGCAAGCCTAAATGTGTTTGTTTTTACTCACAAGTAAATCCCATTAGGTTCAGTGGAAGTTACTAAGCAAGTTGATGAGTGCAACCTAAGAATACATGCTCATGCACACTTATTAACTCACTGAGTATGACATAGGTAGCTGTCCCAGCTCATTACAACAGAAAGTAATCAATGTCCACCTTTATTAGTATCGAGTGATCAGACACAATGTGGTGAGAAGAAAGAACTGGAGGCATGAAAAGTGTTGCCATGAGTGATAAAAGAACACAGGTGCACAGCTTTTAAAAACATACAGCCTGAAAATGCACAGGATAGACGCCTCCACAATTCAGGATGGGGACAAAGATTGATTCCTGGTAGGAGGAAGCTGCAACCGCAGTAAAGAACCACCAACCTTTGGAACGCCGAACCCCGCCCCCCTTGAACTTGCACCGTGCACCTGCTGCGGAGCTTAAAGGCCACCATCCATGGATTAGTCCTCAAGGGTTCATGAGTCGGCCGTGATAGCGGTTGGGGGCTATGCATGGCCTCCTCCCCATAAGAGACTATCATGCACAGCTACACAATGCATATATTTTCTTCCCTCGCTCCCCCCCCCAAAGGGCGGCGGCGGCGGCAGGGGGGGCACTGGCGTTTGCACGACCGCTCCTAGGCTTTACACCGAACCAGACACTCTCGAGGGAAAGTCCTTCCTCTTTTACTGCGGCTGCCGACGCCGCCGACCAAAGAAAGGCCCGCTCCACACAGCGCCCCACTTCCCTGCCATGGACCTCCCCGCCTTTATCCCTCGGCCAGACCTGCGGAGCGAGAAAACCGCTTCCACACAGGAAGACACACACAACAGCGCCCGGCCCCGCTTACCTTCTGCGCCTCCATGCTGAAGCCGGCTCCAGGGAGGAGAGCAGGTGAGGGGCGGGCGAGGCGAGCCCTCTGAAGGGACCGCGACAAAAGGGGCGGAGGGAGCGCCGCGTCTGCTCCGCTCTCCCCACCTAACGGTTAAAGCTCTGCAAGCGCCGCGCCAGCCACCAAACAGCGGCCGACGAGGTAGAAAAGGAGGCGGCGGCGGCGAGCGCAGCAATGCCAGCGCGCGCCAGCTCAGCCCAGCCCAGCCCAGCCCCGCCCACAACTCAGCAGCGCCTCACCCCGATACGAGCATGCGCGGTGCAGCCCGAGCACCCAAAGTGAGACGGTGGGGAGGGTTACGGAGCATGCGTGGTCATGTTGCAGTGTGCCTGATTTCTGCCCTTGCTCTTTTCGTGCCGGTCTCTAGCCTTATAGCAAACCGGGAGGAAAGGGGCGAGACTGACGGACTGATTCAGTTTCCACCCTACTTGTCTCCTGAGACAACATTAAAAAGGTGGAGAGGGGGAAGTGTGCTACGCAACGGAATGCAACTGCCGCTTATTTATGCTGAGGAGTATATGAGCAATACTAAAGGAAGATACAGGAGCACTGCGGAACAAAGTTTTTAGTGCGTACTTTAAGCCAAGCTGGACGGCTGCAATGCGGAAAGGGTTTGCAGCTGAGTGCAGGGTTTGCCTTCACCAAATCCTACGGACTTTATTAATCTCAGCATGAGACTTCCTTGACTGTTCGTTTATTTAAAAAAAAGTTTCAATAAGGATCCGATTCACTAGGCTGTGTATTTATTTCTTCAAAATGTTTTTGAATGAGAGCAAGACTCATTAAATTATTTATTGAAAATAGCCTTTAATTGCCTTTCATGCTGCAAAGGCAGTATAAAAGGTTTGTAAACAACAAAGCATATGAAAACCACAATTTTTTGTGTTGTGCAGGAGACTAGGTGATGTCCGCTGAATGGCCCAATCTGATCCACAGGCATCCAGCAGTTGGTCTCTACTGCAAAGCATTCAAGATAAGCTTGCCAAGAAGATGCATTTTAAGAAGATGGTTACTCTAATATTCTGGACCAGAAATATGTGCCCATAAAGGCATGCGGACAGTTTTAGTAGTATATATTTATAACACCAAAAGCAAATACAAAAATAAAACTGGCATTATACATGAATTTCAACATGTGGTTCTAAATATAAAAATTCCTGTTGATCTCATCAAGTTAGGGGTTGTACTTGCTATTCTCAGTCTGAAAAATGTCTATACTCCACTATTTTCATTCCTTCATCAGTTTTAGACCCTTAGTGATGTTGGAAGACTTCTCCCTCCCTCAAGATTCTTCCACATCTGAGTTTCTTAAACCGTGGATGAAAGAATCTTGATTTTTGCATCAGCCTGTTCCCTGAAGTCCAGACTGCCGACATAAACCATTTGAAGGAATGGGAGTCAGTGCAGTCGGATTCCTTCCTCTTAGGAGTCTTGACCAGCAGTAGGTCTTCCCTTCTCCAGTGTGAAGGAAATCAGACATGGCTGCTCCAGGGACAGATCCTGCAGAAAGAGTAAGAACTGGACACATTTAATTGTGTCTTCATGTGCGTGCGTGCACACACACACACTTTTCCAAATAGCATTTTAGAGGTGCAGTGCTTACTCAGGTGTCAGTTTCCTTTGAAATATGATCACTGGAAGAGGAATCCTAGGCTTCAGGGAGGGCAATGGAGCAAATGGACAAGGCTCATGCCAGCCATGATGGAAGGTCAGGAGCACAGATTTCTCTGTTTTTCTCTAGCAGAGTATTATTTATTTAAGCTTTTATAAACTGTCCACTTTAATCAAATGGTTTTCCAAATGGTTTACAATAACAAAAGAAAAAGACCTAATACAATATAACAATACAACCTACTATGTGTGATGTAAACCATAACACACCAATCCCTGTATGACGATTATATTTATTTATATCTCGCCTATTCCTGGTGATCGAAACTCAAGGCAACTTGTAGTTTTGCGCTTTTTCCCCCTGAATTTTCTTCCTATTGATCAGAACAACAGAGAATTCTCCTATGCCAGCTCCAAGGTTTGCATAGGTTGTAGTGGCTGGGAGTAAGGAGATCTGGGTTCTCGTCCCCACTTGGTCATGGAGCCTAACGAGTGACTTTGGGCCAGTAACAGAATCTCAGCCCAACCTGTCTCACAAGATTGCTGTTGTGGGGATAACCTTGAGGGAAACAGGAGGAGAATCATAGAATAGTAGAGTTGGATGGGGCCAAGAAGGTCATCGGGTTCAACCTCCTGCTGTTCCAGGTCACCAGTTTACATGATCCCACTCAGATGGATGTCCAGTTTCTTTTTTCATTATTTATTTATTTTCAATTTTATTCGCCACTCAATAGTCTAAGAGAACTCTCTAAGCAGCTAATTTACACACACACACACACACACACACACAGAGAGAGAGAGAGAGAGAGAGAGCTGAAAGTACAAGTACAGAGGGAGGGAGGCAGGAAATATGTTGGTGCAGATTAAGCACTTAAAATCAGGTTTTAAATTCAGGTTTTGTAAAATCTGAGAAAGGGGATGTTTTTTGCCTCACACCAAAATGAACATAGAGATGGCATCAGGCAGATCTCTTTAGGAAGCCTGTTCCAAAGGTTGGGGGCGGCCACTGAGAAGGCCCTTGTTCTAAATACCATCCCTTTTTCTTTTAGGAATGAGTCTCTCAGAAAGACCTCATTCCCAGATCTCAATGGGCAGACAGGAATATTTTGGAAAAGGTGATCCTCCAAGTAACCAGGTCCCAGGCCATGCAGGACTTTGTATGTTAAAACAAGCACTTTAAATTGGACCCAGGCTTCAACTGGCAACCATGTTGAATGTTTTTGAATGTCTTTAGTGTGGGAGAGCTCACAACCTAGGCAACTGGTTCACTGTCAAACAGACAGTGTGGAAACTTTTCCTGATAACTAATCTAAATTGTCATAACTTGAGTTTATTATTATTATTATTCTGTGCCCTACATTCTTGTATGAGTGAGAAGAGATCTTGCCCTTCCTCTTTCTGAGAGTCTCTCAGGTACTTATAAAAGTAATATCATGTCCCCCACCCCGTCAGTCTTATCTTCTCAAGGCTGAACATGCCCAGTTCTCTCAGTCTCTCCTCGCAGGGCAGTGTTTCCAAACCCTGGATCGTTTTTGTTGCCCTCCTCTGGACCGCTTCTATTTTTTCTGCATCTTTCTTAAATCATGGTGCCCAGAACTGGACACAGTATTCCAGATGAGGTCTGACTAGTAAGACATATAGGGGAAATACTACTTCTCATGATTGGAAGGAATACTTCTATTAATGGATCTCTATGCCCCTTTTGCAGTATCACATTGTTGGCTCATATTTAGCCTGTAGTTCACTCCAAGGTCTTTTTCATTTCTGTTAAGCCACATATTTCCCATCTTGTATCAATGCATTTGGTTTCTTTTTCCTAGGTGGAGGACTTGGCATTTGTCCCTGCTGAATCTCATTCTGTTGCTTTCAGCCCAGCATTCACGTTTATCAAGAATGATGTAAGCTGCTTTGAGCTCTTAAAAAGGAAGGAAAAAAGCAGGATATAAATCTGATAAATAAAAACAAGAAGGGGATTGAATCCAGGCAGATGCCCTGTGCACCTGAGAGATGCTCTGCCTGCCTCATGTTGGGGTTTCCACCACTCTTCCCAGTTTATAAAATGCCATATATGTGGGATTTCCACTGGTGGAAGAACTATAGTTGTTTTGGACTGCAACTCCCATGAGTCCCAGCCATCATGGGCGATGGTCAGGAGTTATGGAAGGCCACAAGAACACATCTGGATGGCACAAAGTTTCCTACTCCTTGCATGTATCACCCATAGCCAGGGGGAAGAGGAGGCATCTTGGTTGCCAGCAGATGCATCTGGCCATTTCCTTGTCATTCAAACCACACTTCAACTAAGTCACTGGGCTTGCATGGCACACTAAGCAACTGGGGGCAGAGGGCAGTGCAGTGCTGGAATCACACTTGCCATTTTGATTACCCTTCTCCCAGTTTGGAGAAATCCCTTTGAAACTCCTCACAGTCCCTTTTAGTTTTAACCACCCTAAATAAATGGAATATAGCTTCCATATAGCCTGAAGTGCCTGATCCTGCCTAATCTTGGAAGCTAAGCAGAGTCGGGCCTGGTTGAAATCTGGATGCATGATTTAAATGTTGTGAGCCACGCAGAGAGCTTTGGCTATGGACAGTATAGAAATGTAGAAACATAGAAACAAAGATAAAGATAATGATGATGATGATTTGGCATCAGCAACAAACTGGACCCCTTCACTGCTTACTAATTCCAGGTCACTTAGAAATAAGGTGAAAAGCCTGGGTCCCAATACAGATCCCTGTGGGACACTGCTGTCCACATTCCTCCACTAGGAAAGTTACCATTACTCTCTACTTTCTGATGTTTAACTAGTTACTGATCAGAGTTCAAAGAAAGAGACCTCTTATTCTGTATCTGCTAAGGATTCTTTGGTGAGGGACTCTGTGACGGGACTCTCACCCTGTGTGACTACCATGGCCGGTGGTTTTTTACCTCAGTGTGCACTGATCAGGCACCTGGTGGTTAGTCTCCTCCCTCCTGCCATCTCCTCCTGTCTCGGTCCTCCAGGTAGAATCCCAGGAGAGCCCACAGGGAGGAATGAAGCTCTTCTCCTTGACAGCTGCAATCACAGTCCAAGTTTGACTCATCATGGCCATCAAGCAGTCTCTGTTGCACAAGCAGCCTTGCAGGATTTCAGCTCCAGCTTCTTTCTTAGCATCAAACTACATTTTCTATTTTTTATGGAGCTTGTAACTAACCCTTTTTGTTGTTTATTGTTTGAACTCTAGTGCAAGCAGATGTAGCCATGGTTTGGATCAGCTTCCCATTGCCCCAAATTAAAAAAAGTGTTGTGAGGTACCATCATGAAAAGGCAGTTGTGAGTTGCTGGGCACACTGCATGCAAAAGTCACAAGTTGTATTCCTAGCATCCCCAGTTAGGGTTGGAAAAACTCCTGCCCGATCCCTGGAGAGCTGCTGCCAGCCAGTGTCAGCAATACTGGGCAAGATAGACCAATGGTTTGATTCACAATAGGCAGCTTCATGTATCTAAGCTCCAGCTGCCCAACATCTTATTTTCTGCAGAGGATGACATGGGGCCAATATAGGCTCAGAGACACCCTGCAGAA